GTGAAAAGTTCCTTGGTAAGGCTTGTTCAGGCGTTCAAGTTTTTTTTTTTTTGGTATAAATGTTTGTTGTCTTGACCCTCAGTCAAATCGTATCTATCTTCCATAATGTGTAACCGGTGACTCCCGAGCGAGTCAACATGATATACAATCTGATTATATTAAATTTGGTAGGGTGACCCTTATATACTATGTAAGCTGTCTTACACGCTTTTTTTAACTGTAGAAAGGTTTGCTCAAATATTTAGCATAAGCAACATTTACCGTTAGTTTACCGTTAGTTTTACTAACCCTGTATCTGTATTCGTTAGGAGCACACTGTATATTCAGACTGCTATTGGAATGCACTGCACTGCTCCAATAAACCAAGCATTTTCATTTAATAGGTGTATCATCATTTTGAGTCAAGTCCAATGTATCTTAGGTTCTTAGATTGGGTTCTTAGTTAGGCTATTATTAGATTGGTCGATGCAAACAGGTCTGTAGGAGACCATTCCCACAGATATTTAGATCGATCTATCCCCCTTGGGAGTCCCACTAGATTGCTGTCGGCTTAACCGGCTTAAATGTCTGTCCCGCCTACTAAAAGCTGTAAGGGGGTAATTAACTTTAGTGCGCGCTCGGCTCCCGGAAGCTGACAGCAATTTAGCGTGAACCCCCAGGGAGTTAGGTCGATCCAGATGGATCGATCTAAATCTGTGGGAACCCAGTCTTAGACATCTTGCGGCGCTGTTATAATTTATATGTATATACCGCATTGAAAGGGGTTTTAAATCAAACTCCTTGCTAAGGATCAGCTGTACTTCTCAACCAATGGACATAATGGACATGTAAAACTCTGAGTAGCACTTAACATTATTCCTGGGTACAATGTTCTCTAATATTTTAGTTAATATCTTTTTTTTATATGCAACGACACGTTGCACCGTGTCCACCATTATCTTGTAATGCAGTCAATACTGTGCATGATAAATCATAACAACTAAGCTAACATATGGAAAAACAGTATGTCTAGCTGTCACTTGTCCTGCGAAGCCCTGATTTGCGTTTAGAAGGATTCTGGCCAATTCCAATGATGTCTTACATCATAAGTCGATAACTGGACAAACATCATTCATGACTGCACCTATATTTGACTGGTCCGTTGTTCCGAAAGGTTTTGGAACGAGCAAGTTAAAAACGAGCATTGACATCGACAGTGTAGGGCCTTTGTTTCTTAAAATCAGGATCATAATGTATCTTTGTATCTAACACAGCATGTCGAGGTTTGGAAGTTGAAAGTTTATTAAATTCATTTTATTTATTACATGTGCAAAATATATGAGAAGAGACGCAAGAGAACAATGTATTTTCCACTTGGGTTGATGCAACCGTATCAAGCATGCATACTGCCCCTAGTGCGATAAACTCAAGAGACGTAAATCCCGTAACCAAGTTATATTTTCTGTGAAGTTTAACAACCAAGCAGAACAGAATATTAGATTTAGGGTGCTGAGAGAATTGTGGTCTTTTAGAAGAAACCATTAAAGGCATTTTGTCAAAGGCTCTAATACGTCTCTCTCTTTGTACTGTTTTGTACACGCTGCAGTTTTGCTCGTCTTGCATACTTCGTCTACTGCATGCCAATCAATATCACTGTCTACAAATGCATACTTATTCTTCACTTTTAAGCCGATCCCCAAAATACGCCTCTCCCGTGAGAATTCTTAGACTTAACGTAGTGGTAACTGGCGGCTATCCTCCGGCTTATTAAACGCATATATAATGTTTAGTCTTTAGAAGCATTAGAAGCATTATATATAAAGATTACCTTAAGGGTGAGAGCAGACGGATTGAGTGGAAACGTCGCAATGACACAACCAATTTGAATTTATGGTTCCAAATGCTTAAAGGCTCACTGAGTTTTTTTTTTTTTTTTTTTTTTTTTGATATGATACGTGTCATTTATCAAAATGGTGAAGTTTGATATTATGATGTAAAAAAGGGATAAAATGGGGGATAAATATACCGGAGAGATGGCATTCGATGAAAATAAATGGCCACAAAATGTGTGCCTCTCAGTGAATCACATCTCCTTCCATTTGATGCCACTGTGATACCTAAAAACAGAGGAGAAAAAAAGGAATTCAGGTGGAGAGAAGAAAAAGATAGATAGGAAACCAATGACACTGTTTACTGATTGGTTTTGTGGTCATCTTTTATTGTACTGGCGATGCTTAAACTAAACACATACACATCCCAAGCACTCTACGGGTGCGGTTGGGGGGGGGAGCAGTGCATGCCTTCCACACAGTACACTGCAACATGTTCAGCACTGGTGAAACATTAAAGTTGCCCAAGATATTCAAAAGTAATGATTGGCTTTTATGGAGGACCATGTTTCCGTAGGAAGCGACACGAAACGTCGAGAGCTACCGTTGTAATTTTCTATCTACCTATATTTACCCAAAAGACGTGTCATTTATACCGGAAACTCAATATCGCCAACACGTCTCCATCGTCAAACACAGAGTCAAGCCAAAGCAACAGATGAATCATTTTAATGCTGGGTACTCAATTACTCCAACACGACTAAATTTTCGAGAACAGTATCAAACCATTTCAAAAATAGTATCATTTTAAAACCGGACACTCAATTTCTCCAGCATGCACGCTTCCAAGAAAACAATGGCAAGGACATAATGCACCCCTCCCGTGTGGTTATATACGAAGTCAACTAAATGAAATTACGCTTTTAATTATTCAAACCTATGATGTGCTGACATTTAAAGATCCATCTGCTATCTTTTCATGTTAAAGGTGCCCTCGGATCGAACGGAAATTAGTCTATCTATCCATGCTTTTTCCATGTATAAGTCCACCCTTATATCCATCCATTCTTCAGTCACTCTATCCATAGACCCACTCTTCATACATCAACCTTTCCATACACACACACACACACACGCACGCACGCACGCACGCACGCACGCACACACACACACACGCACGCGCACACACACACACACACACACGCACGACCCCACATCAATCTGTCGATATATTGTTATTCAAATCTTTCAAAATATGACGAATTGTTAGCTGCGGAAGTCTGTTGGAAACGTGTAGCGTACCAGTTTGTACTGTACATTGTAGAACATATACATGTTTTCTACATAACACTGTTATAGTAATACAAACACTATAAATTTGACCATAACCAAAACTTCCCCAAGAGATCTTTCAATTTTACCGCTGCTTTAAAATCCTATTGATTAACGTCTTAATGCACATGTGTTTTTTAATGCGTTCATCCAATCGTCCAATGTACATAATATAGTTTGATTTAATGTTTAAGCCATTTTTCGGATTACTTATATATATATATATATATATATATATATATATATATATATATATATATATATATATATGTGTGTGTGTGTGTGTGTGTGTGTGTGTGTGTGTGTGTAAATCATTTGTCAATAATTAGCATTGTAGTTACTCTGGCGAGAACTAGAACCAGAATATGCAGACGGAAATTTCGAAGGTGTGCTTCGGCACATCCTGAGCACCTATTGCTACAGAGACTTGGGTGTTAGGGAGGAGCCAGGCGCTTTCCCAGTCTTTGCACCCATAAAGAGGTGTTCAAACCCATTTCCATCTCTTGGCACAGTAAAAGATCCACTTAAGGCGCCGATGAAATATTCATTTAGTTTCGAAGTCCCCGGGCGCAGAACCAATTCTTCAAATTTAATACGAAAGTGTTTTCGAAACGCCACCTCCGAATTAATCTGCTTCAGTAAACCGAATTATTCCATTTTACGCGCCGGGAACCAAATATTCACACACTCCGCGCAAGCATTTAGGACTTCCATGTCCTCTTAACTTTGGCTAAAGCATGTTAAAGAGAAGGAATTGAATTTCGATCGAAAGTATGGACCCCTGTGATTTAATTTGTACTGAAAAGCAGGCAGAAAGGGCAGAAGATGCAGCACAACTTGGTAAAAAATGGCCTCACATTTATCGACTGGCTGCCCTCGTGACCAAACAAACGATGGGAGCCTCATTAATCTACCAGTGCAATCCTGATTTTATTTCCTGTGCCCTGATACCTGTATCCACCACTAGGTTATTTCAAAGGAGTTTTGCAGAAAAACGAATAACTTACTTTACTTGTGACAGAAAATTTCAACTCTAAATCTACATTATATTTTCTCTTGCTTACCAATTTTGCATAGAACTAAATGTATTGTATAACTAATTGTCTGAAATACTAATCTACAACGTTTCATAAATTAATTTATTTATATATAAACCGCGTCATGAATACATTGCATTTATTGAAATACAAAGTTGATTATCCTATAACAGCGCTAACTTGAACAAATGGAATACCATGCACATTAAGCGAACATTAGGGACATCAGTCTAAATGTCAGGCCGACGCTTTGGTATTGTGCCACCCATTAGCTAATGACTCGCGTATCATATTTAAAAAAATTTAACAGCTGATTTGATAATAAAGCCTTTCTTTTGGTGTTACGTGAAGCCAAGTGGTTTCTGTGCCTTTTGTACTGGGAAATATGATATTTCAAGTTCAAACTAAATATGTTAACTGTCCACTTTAGCGGCTTTACGTCTGACAAAAACCCCCTCTCGTGCCCTTTGGCGCTTTATGAAATTGACTGTGCGTGTGTGCTACTGATGTTTTATTAAGTAGTCGCACGTCGAGACTGGTTTAGATTCAAACGAGTAAATGACCCGCAGTGCGGTCACCGTTAAGGGACGAGTCCTGATGAAGAGATCTGATAGACAGCAGCTTTTCTTAACATTGCATGATGAGATTCTGTTTCCAGTTTCTAATAATGCCTTCTCGCTTTTATTTGGATGACCTTTCACGCCACACTCACCAGGTCAGGTTTCCAATGATTCAACAATTTAATCCATGAATAAGCTATTTTCTTAGCGATAGGTATCCAACTTAGGAGTTCTTTGCCTAATTTGCTGTCTTATTGTTTCAGGAAGCAGTGATGGAAATATTGGCAAGTGGATTGAGATATTTGATGGGATAAAAGCAGCTATCATCGTCGCGGAATCTTTTACCAGAAGTCCGTGATGGTTCCACGTGAGCTATAAATTGAACAGGGACTTGAATTGCATTGCACCGATATAAAACCCACGAGCTCTCCTGTTATTCGGCGCGGATATGAGACCGCGAATTACTGTTTTAGAAAATCATTCGGATTTGAACCGTATTATTGAAGTGTCAAGCGTTGGCATTTCAAAGCTATTCAAGTTGACACGGGAGAGCTTAAGGCCATAATCGCTATTCATAGAGTGAGACAGTTAAATTGAAGAGGATAATAAGGAATTTGTATAGGATATTACGATGCCAATGAGAAGACTATATTTTCAATAATCCTGAGGGATCTCCTGCGAAAGGCCGTAGTTCCTAGTGTAAACAGCCCGGCGGAAGGATGGGTCGACCTGGCAAGAGAAGATCTCCAAAATAATTGAAATCTAATTCTGAGCTCCTATCCTTTTCATCACCCACTCGGTTCGTCTTCGATTCAAAATCACACCACGGTCTACGATGAACGTCACAACGCCGACAACGTTGCCGCTAACAACACCTTACACTTTTGGGGTTCCCTTAGTACCATCTGTGGCAGCCATGAGTCCTGCTGAAAGGAATGAACTCGCGCCGTACACGTTTAATGATGACTCCCCGATCCCTCGGCTCCCAGAGTACGTTAATGACAACCTAACCGAAGAAAGGGCCTTGACAGAATATTACTGCAATGGGACATTCGACTTGTCTCTTTGCTTGGAAATACTAGGACTTGCTGAAAATCTAACGTTCAATTATACATCGAACGAGACAACTACATTTGAATGGACACTCCGTCACCCTATGTGGTTAACAGTTCTATTGGCAATATTTGGCGGTATTGTCAGCATTGTAACTGTTCTGGGAAACTCCCTCGTGCTGCTGTCATTTTATCTTGACCGTCAGATCCGTCAACCATCAAACTATTTCATTGCCAGTCTCGCCGTATCGGATCTACTGATCGGCCTGTTCTCCATGCCTTTGTATACGATGTATTTATTGTTGGACGCCAAGTGGCCGCTGGGGCCTACTGTGTGTGATTTGTGGCTTTCCTTGGACTACACCAGCTGCCTCGCCTCGCAGTACACCGTGTTCTTTATCACTGTGGACCGTTTTTGTTCTGTCAAAATACCAGCAAAGTACCGCAACTGGCGAACAGAACACAAGGTGAATGTGATGGTGTCCGTCACCTGGGTCATACCCATACTTATATTCTACACGTCTATAATAGGATGGCAGTACTTTGTTGGACTAAGAACTGTCCCCGCTCAAGAGTGTTGGGTCCAATTCATGTCCAGCCCAATGTTTAATACCATCTTGGTTATAGGGTACTATTGGATAACTCTGGTCGTGATGATAATCCTGTATGCAGGGATCTACAAAGTGGCCTTGGATCTACACAGAAAATCAGCCGCAAAACAGAAAAAGATGACGTCACTCGTTTCTATGGCTGGACAAACCATGACGAACATAGGGATTGGGATATCTCAAACAAAGAAGGCGTCTGTCAAGGAAGTTAAGGAAACAATAAGTCCCTTAAAGAATAAGAAAGCCACAGCAGCAGTGGAAGAGGAGGAGGGATCTTCCAGCACTGCCTACCCATCAGACGTGGAGGACTCAAGCAGTCAATCGGCCCCTCATCCTCCGCCGGCTTATAACAGCCTAGACGGGGACAGCGCTGGAACTCCAGTGAATAAACCTAAACAACACCACCATCACCATCACCATCGACACCATCACCATCACCACGGGAAGGATCACGCACATGGGCATAAAAATAAAAAGACAGACGACCATTTGACAACACCTAAGGGGGAGCAATACCTGACTACCCCAACGCCGGTGTCACAAACACCTTCTAGTCTCCTTGACAACGAGTCGTCGACTCAAACTGCTGGATCTCATGATACAAGCGGTTCCAGTGGCGAAACACCAAAACGAGGTCACGGCATTCGTTTCATCGATCAAGAAAGCTTCCAATCGTTTGCCTCTGGAGAGGATGTGAAACTCGTTGTGGAAACCCGCCACATTGATAAGCTTGCTCAGTCCAATGACGAGCCTCCGTCTCCAATTTGGAAACGAAGACAGTCCTTTAAGGCGAAGGAGACTGAACACAGTGCCGCCAATATGGTTGGTTGCAACGGCGATAAAGATAAAGTTTGCATGCAAGTTTCCGTGAATAGTAAATCGAAAGGCAAACCGGTAATTAAAACAATAAAACCACCAAGCGGAAACCATGAACATAAATCAGCAAGGGAGAGGGTTACTCAACAGTGGCACGACATAACAACATATTTTAGACGTAAAAACCAAAAACGAAAAGAAAAAGGAAAAGCTCAAGGTAAAAACAAGTCGAAGTCTGAAAATCGAGCCAGAAAAGCCCTCAGAACCATATCCCTGATATTGGGGGCATTTGTATTGTTCTGGACTCCATACCACGTTATAGTTATTATTTTAGGTTTTTGCTACGATTGTGTGCATATACGGCTGTACGAGATTTCGTACTGGTTCTGCTACATGAACAGCCCAATCAATCCTTTTTGCTATGCATTCGCCAATGCACAATTTAAGCGGACTTTCAAACGAATCCTTAGTGGTGATCTGCACAGGACATGATAGGCTTTGATATTAATGAGTAATAGATTTAAGGAATTGTTCGTGTATTCCAATGCGTAGTCCTAGTCAGATTTTCGTTCAAAGTGAAGAGATGAGACGCCAAATGGAATATGATAGATTCCACGATTCAAAGATTGTACAATGGGTGGAAAACGATTGATTTTGAGAAACACGCTGGGGAGAGATTTTTATACATGTGCTCCCTCGCTGTCTGAACAGAAGTATTGCAGTTGCACTGTTTAGATACGAAAGGGCGAGAAGCTCTTCTGGTGAAAAACAAAAGAAGACCAGATCTCGTTCAGTGGACCATGTGTCTTGAAACCTTGTTTTGGTCTGCTATGTGATCTGCTGAAATGGTATTTCTTAGTGTTGGTCCCCATTTTATGCCTTCTTAAAGCTTTTGTCACTCGTGGTAAATCTGTATCCCACACAGCTCTTGGTCAATTTCTGTCACCTTCCCTTTTATTTCGTTGTGTGTGGCAAGCAGGAAACAATATCGACACATTATCATTTTGATATTTTTTAGTCCTTTTTATTTGAATATTAAAGTTATCATTTTGAAGTCATAGTGCAGTTTTTATCGGTAATAAGGGCACTTGCAAGTTTATCAGCAGTTGCCGAAATAAATAAAAAACAAATGCCATATTTAATTATATAATCACATAAAGAGAAATTTTACCTTTTAAGAGATACTGATGACTGTCAAAGGGAAGTCGACACGTAATATAGGCGTGACGTGTTCTACATTCTACAATTCTCCAATCATACATCCAATCTCTCTCTCTCTCGCTCTCTCTCTCTCTCACACATGCACACACATACTTACACGCATACACTTGTCTGTGCTAGAATGGACACTGTTTATATATGACTTACAGTGTAAGTTGATGTTCGATCGTTTGGATACTACTATTTTCAGACATATTACTTCATACACCATGCAAAAGAACTAGGACCATCAATAATGTTTTAAATATACTATTCCCCAGTTCGCGAGTGCGGTTCTCCGCTAGCAAGATGGATGGCCCCTTCTTTGCAGCAAATAATAATCACGTTTCAATCCTATGGATCTATTTGCGTTTTTTCATCATTTAGGTGTACTCAATTTTTTTATATGTTAGCAGCAAAGACGTCCTGTCTTTCAAATTAGCATTGAAAATGGATGTTATATCACACGTGTAAAACCTATACTTGTTCTACGAAATGGTGTGATAACTAGTTTATATTTTTTGTGCTGCCCCAATTAACCAAAATTACGGTCCTTTATTTTTTCGGTGTCCTACATGCCAATCTTCTAGTGGTTGCAAGTTGTTTGTAAGAGAAGTTATTCCGTTCTGTACTCAAACCATTCATTTGTACCGAGAGTACCAGTAAATGCCCTTATTTGACCATTAAATTGGTTTAATCCAATGTAAGGAAAAGTGATCTTGGAAACGCATTTATTTACAGCATTTGATTTCACGGATCTAGAGATTGTGGGGAGGATGGGGGGGGGGTGTAAGTACAGGAAGATTGCCTTGAACTTCATAGAATTGAAGTATGAACTGTAACCAGCTCCAAGTATTGTTGTTTAAGCTACAACAAGTGCATTGTGCGAGGTGTTACATTTTATGAGGCTGTATGTTACACATTCAATAAAGAAACAAGGTAACAAGGGGATACATGTTATTGATTCATTATTTCAATCACTCCTTATTTTCACTGTAATAAGAAGCACGTCTAATATGTGTGCCTCATGTTGAAATAAATGAGGGCGTAAGATGTGAAACCTTAACCATTGCACATGACTGTCTTATGCAAGTCAGCAGTTGTATAGTGTATGTTCACATATGTATGAGGTGTTATTATAAAAATACAGGACTGCACTAACAGAAATCAAAGCAAAACATACCATTAAAACTTAAAGGTGGCGCAATATGTGTCACTGGAAATATAGGTAATTTGATGAGTGGACGTATCACTAATTAGTCTTAATTAAGAACTTTTTAAAGAAAGACGTAACGTAAATAACATGTGTAAAAACACAAGACGAAATTCTTTTGCAATTTAAAAGCTGTAAGCTGTGTTTATCACATCTATATCTGCCGTTAGCTATATTATGCATGCTTCTATTTCTAGTGTAACTTGCTTCACATTTGTAATTGACAACAACCAAAGATATGTAAATAAATGAAAAAAAAAAAAAAAAAACACTTCCTCGTCGCTATTTTTGTCTTGTTGACAAGGGTATGGATCTTTCAATATAAACGCGCTTTGCTTAATCCATGATTGCATAAAGTCTCTGTCAGTTGAACTATCATTTTGTTAACATCTAGTAATACCCATGACGATGACAATAAATAAATAAATAAATAAATAAATATTTCCATTTTGCTCGATTTGTTTGGCCAATAAACAAAACCGTTAAATTTTTTAAAGATGCCTTCAAAGTTTTCAAGAAAGACCAAAGTCAGTTTGAAGGAGTGACTCTTAACACAACGGAGAGCAACTAGCGCGTTGGATAGATAAAGTGTGATTTGGTCTCAACTACTGCAATACGCGAACCAACTTATACCAGTAAGTAGGCCCAACGACAACTGGTTTTAAGTGAAATGTATAAACAATAAAGGGAATAAAATCCAACTTATCATTAACATACAACTTATGATTAACACAACAAGCCGTATCTTATTACGTAAATTAAATTGATGGGCAATTAAAGATGTGCTGTTTTAAAATCATAATGAAACGAAGTTTGAACTCCTTCGATATATCAAGTTGGCCCGGTCTCATTTCCTGTATATAATTTATTTGATTATCTAAATACCAAATAACTATATATGTTTTTATATAACTTTTTAAACAAAATGCTGGAAGCCTCTCGCAACCTTTTCAATCCAATCATTCAGTCACGGCGTTATCAGCATCGATCATAGTCTTGTGTGAGATGGCAAGAGTAAGGAATGGGGGGGGGGGGGGGGGGGGGNCAGTGCGTAGTCCTAGTCAGATTTTCGTTCAAAGTGAAGAGATGAGACGCCAAATGGAATATGATAGATTCCACGATTCAAAGATTGTACAATGGGTGGAAAACGATTGATTTTTGAGAAACACGCTGGGGAGAGATTTTTATACATGTGCTCCCTCGCTGTCTGAACAGAAGTATTGCAGTTGCACTGTTTAGATACGAAAGGGCGAGAAGCTCTTCTGGTGAAAAACAAAAGAAGACCAGATCTCGTTCAGTGGACCATGTGTCTTGAAACGTTGTTTTGGTCTGCTATGTGATCTGCTGAAATGGTATTTCTTAGTGTTGGTCCCCATTTTATGCCTTCTTAAAGCTTATGTCACTCGTGGTAAATCTGTATCCCACACAGCTCTTGGTCAATTTCTGTCACCTTCCCTTTTATTTCGTTGTGTGTGGCAAGCAGGAAACAATATCGACACATTATCATTTTGATATTTTTTTAGTCCTTTTTATTTGAATATTTAAGTTATCATTTTGAAGTCATAGTGCAGTTTTTATCGGTAATAAGGGCACGTGCAAGTTTATCAGCAGTTGCCGAAATAAATAAAAAACAAATACCATATTTAATTATATAATCACACAAAGAGAAATTTTACCTTTTAAGAGATACTGATGACTGTCAAAGGGAAGTCGACACGTAATATAGGCGTGACGTGTTCTACATTCTACAATTCTCTAATCATACATCCAATCTCTATCTCTCTCGCTCTCTCACACATGCACACACACACACACATACTTACACACGCGCATACACTCATCTGTGCTAGAATGAACACTGTTTATATATGACTTACAGTGTAAGTTGATGTTCGATCGTTTGGATACTACTATTTTCAGACATATTACTTCATACACCATGCAAAAGAACTAGGACCATCAATAATGTTTTAAATATACTATTCCCCAGTTCGCGAGTGCGGTTCTCCGCTAACAAGATGGATGGCCCCTTCTTTGCAGCAAATAATAATCACGTTTCAATCCTATGGATCTATTTGCGTTTTTCATCATTTAGATGTACTCAATTTTTTATATGTTAGCAGCAAAGACGTCCTGTCTTTCAATTTAGCATTGAAAATGGATGTTATATCACACGTGTAAAACGTATACTTGTTCTACGAAATGGTGTGATAACTAGTTTATATTTTTTGTGCTGCACAAATATACCAAAATTACGGTCCTTTATTTTTTCGGTGTCCTACATGCCAATCTTCTAGTAGTTGCTAGTTGTTTATAAGAGAGGTTATTCCGTTCTGTACTCAAACCATTCATTTGTACCGAGAGTACCAGTAAATGCCCTTATTTGACCATTAAATTGATTTAATCCATTTTAAGGAAAAGTGATCTTGGAAACGCATTTATTTAGAGCATTTGATTTCACGGATCTAGAATTGAAGTATGATCTGTAACCAGTTCCAAGTATTGTTGTTTAAGCTACAACAAGTGCATTGTGCGAGGTGTTACATTTTATGAAGCTGTATGTTACACATTCAATAGAGAAACAAGGTAACAAGGGGATACATGTTATTGATTCATTATTTCAATCACTCCTTATTTTCACTGTAATAAGAAGCACGTCTAATATGTGTGCCTCATGTTGAAATAAATGAGGGCGTAAGATGTGAAACCTTAACCATTGCACATGACTGTCTTATGCAAGTCAGCAGTTGTATAGTGTATGTTCACATATGTATGAGGTGTTATTATAAAAATACAGGGCTGCACTAACAGAAATCAAAGCAAAACATACCATTAAAACTTAAAGGTGGCGCAATATGTGTCACTGGAAATATAGGTAATTTAATGAGTGGACGTATCACTAATTAGTCTAATTAAGAACTTTTTAAAGAAAGGCGTAACGTAAATAACGTGTAAAAACACAAGACGAAATTCTTTTGCAATTTAAAAGCTGTAAGCTGTGTTTATCACATCTATATCTGCCGTTAGCTATATTATGCATGCTTCTATTTCTAATGTAACTTGCTTCACATTTGTAATTGACAACAACCAAAGATATGTAAATAAATGAAAAAAAAAAAACACTTCCTCGTCGCTATTTTTGTCTTGTTGACAAGGGTATGGATCTTTCAACATAAACGCGCTTTGCTTAATCCGTGATTATATACAGTATAAATATAATTTGCATTTGGTG